AGTACACAACATCTGGAGTACTACAGTGAGACTACAGTACACAACATTTGGTACTAGTACTACTCGTAGTAGTACTTGTAAAGTACTAGTACTACTCGTAGTAGTACTTGTAAAGTACTAGTAGTAGTATCAGTAGTACTAATAGTAATAAAATAGTAGTGCTAGTAGTAGTATCAGTAGTATTAGTACACTAGTAGTACTAGTAGTATTAGTACCTCGGTGCTGACCAGCTGAAGCTCCACTCGTTGACATCGATCTCTGTACTCCAACACCTGCACACACAGTCAGAACTCTCAGTACTGTAGTAATACTACTGACTATACTGTGATATCTGTACTGTAGTAATACTACTGACTATACTGTGGTATCTGTACTGTAGTAATACTCCTCACCTTGTTCTGCAGGCGGTGGATCAACAGAGCCTGTCTGGCCTCTCTCTCTCTCCCCTCCCTCACCCTCCTCTTCCACTCCCTCTGATCACTCTCCAGCCTCAGAGGGAGGGAGAGTGAGGGAGACACTGACTGGTACAGCTGGGGAGGGAGGGAGAGAGAGAGAGAGAGAGAGAGAGAGAGAGAGAGAGAGACGTAATTGTTAGGATTTAGTCCAACTCTAGTCCAACCCGATAATCACATGACCTCCCACCCCTCCTCCCCCTCTCATTCAGAGCTCTGCTCCTGGACTCTAGCTCCTCCCCCTCCTCACCCTCTCATTCAGAGCTCTGCTCCTGGACTCTAGCTCCTCCCTCTCTGCTCGACTCTCAGCCAGCTCCTCCTGCAGACGACACACCTCCCGCTTAAGCTCCGCCTTCTCCTGCTGCCACCCAATCAGCAGCTCTGACTGCATGCTGACAGGTAGACCTGGTCTTCAGGGATCCTGGTGTAGTGGAGACCCACAAGAGCTTATATTTACAGTGGGTACGGAAAGTATTCAGACCCCTTTAAATTTTTCACTCTTTGTTTCATTGCAGCCATTTGCAAAAAATCAAAAAAGTTCATTTTTATTTCTCATTAATGTACACTCAGCACCCCATCTTGACAGAAAAAAAAGAAATGTAGAAATTTCTGCAAATTTATTAGAAATAAAATGAACTTTTTTGATTTTAGCAAATGGCTGCAATGAAACAAAGAGTGAAAAATTTAAAGGGGTCTGAATACTTTCCTTACCCACTGTATATGTAACAGTGTGGTATTAGTACCTTTACTGCAACATAGTATTTTAATAATGGGGTGGTATTAATACTTCTTCATATATAAAGTGGTGTACTATGGTATACTATAACTTCCACTGTGCTCCAGTGTAAAGCAGGTGGACAAAATAACAGAAACACCAGTTCCAACTCTCTGAACCAACATTAAATATTAATGTATAAATATTATACTTCACATATGTGTGCTGTGTACTTGTACTGCAGTAGTGGTAGTATTAGCAGGTACTCTGTTAGTGTCCGTATCTAATCAGCTTGTATTAATCTGTTAAAGTGCAGAGACAGCCGACTGTAGCTAGCCTGTTAGCATGCTAACAGCAGGCAAACAAGACTGTTAATTCAAGTGTTTGACGTTACCTGCTGAAGCTGCTGCACGAGCGTCACTCACAAAAGTGTCGAAAACATTTTTAGAACACTTTAAAAACTACAAACCGTTTCAGTCATCCGGTCTGCACGAGCTGCTGTTTGTTGTTAGCATATTCAAACCAGCGGACGTGACCGTTGACCCCGGAGACAAGGAGGTCACGTGACAGGAAACAAGGCGATGAAATTTAGACAGCGACCCCTGTTGACCGAAAGATATATATATATATATATATATCTCTCTCTCTCTCTCTCAAGCGGGACAAAGATGCCCTGGAACAAGTTCAGAGACGCGCAGCTAGACTAGTGCACGGCCTCTCACACTTCTCATACCCAGAAAGACTCGCCAGCCTCAACTTGCAAACGCTGGAATTTCGAGGCAAACGAGCCGACATGGTCCAAACTTTTAAAATACTGACAGGAATTGACAGCGTACAGTCTGACAGAAGTTGTGAAGTATGTGGCAATAGTATGTTCAAAAAATCCCTCAGCACCACCACGAGAGGTCACGATCTGAAACTACAGCTACAACACCAGCCTGGTCCACGGAAACCTTTTTTCTCAAGTAGAACAACACCGGTATGGAACAGCCTGAGTCAAGGAACAGTTAGTGCCTCCTCAGTCAACGCATTCAAGACCAGCCTAGGGAGAGACACCATCAAAGCCAACACCAACACATATTCTCCTACTAGTTCACCGTCCAGTCCCACGTTCTGCATTAACACATTTAACAAACCTTGAGACTCAACTATTTACTATTGGTTTAGGGTCTCAATACTCTTAAAGGGTACCTAATGACCTTTACTAAAGGTCAATTACTAAAGATAAATATATATATATATATATTTTTTTTTATATATATATTATATAATACAAAAAAGTTTGACTTCAAACGTATATTTCAAAAGAATAAGAAAAATGTATGTTGACTTCAACTGTGTAGTTTGAATAGCAAATGAATTATAATAAATAAAATACTAAAATAAATTTAAAACATATTTAGATTGAATGTAAAAGCATAATTTGAACACATTATATAATTGTGGTGCAACACATCACAGCTCCACTGAGCATGAGTCACATCAGAGGCACATGTGGAACACGATAACATCTGTAGATAACGGGAACATGAAGTATGAAGATATAAATAAGGCTGAAATCATAGAAAACCTGTTGACATGGAAACAGAAACAAAATCAAACAGAAATAAAAAACATCAAAGAAATCAGACAATGAAGAGAATTTATTATCACACGAAGATACAAACAGTTAGTTTTTATATAAAACTGGAATATTCTGAGATAACGAGTTGTTTAACATGAAAATAATATATATTATTACTCCAAAACACTTATTTTATATCTAATATTTATAAGCAAACACAACACATTGAATAAATTACTGTTTGGCTACGTGATGATATTCAAAAGACACCCGAGGGTCTAATGTTGTCTCTAGATGTGTAAAACAAGAGTCACGATACAAATCTGTATTCCTGAATAAAAGTGCACAGCACACCTCTCAACATATCAAGATAATATTCAGTTATTCTTTGTTTAACAGAAACATGCTGCATCACATGATGATGTCATATTCTGATTTAATAAATCAGAAACATCTGAGGCACTTTGAATTAACATTTTACGAATAGCTTATCAATCATTTTCATCCATAAATAATAACAAACGTACATTTACAGTAAAAAAACATGAATCACTTTTTCTCAGTACACTCAAATACACCATCCTCAGGATGTGGTCACACCAGCGTTTAAAAATCTAAAAACGCTTTGTTTTTTTAATTGCCGGATTCTGCAGTTTTGACAAATAAAACTTTGGACAAAGTTTTTTTAAGTTCAGCTTTGACGACAGAATTCACCGTGTTGACCAATAAAAAAACGCCTTCACAGAGCTCAGCTGTGATTGGACGGAGAGCCAGAGTCCAAAATGCAGGAAGCTATCGTCACTTATTAGCTGCGTGTCACCCTCCAGTTCTATTAAAGCTCAAAGTGCTCATCAGACAGGAAGTGATCTTACAAACTTAGCATTCAGTTAGCATCTTAGCTAGCTAACTTGCTAACTTGTAGTTTTCTTTAACTGTCCATGTACCAAGTCTAGCTAGCAGGCTAGCTAGCTTGGCGAGCTAAAGATACATGAAGCCAGTCACACTGTTTCAAGGCTGGATTTTTAGTTATTAGAATTGTTACAAATATCAACAGGATTTTGAACGAGGTTTTTACTTCAGGAACAGAACCTGCTAGTTGTGGGCTAGCATCAGTATATTTCCGGGTAGCTAGCATGCTACTGAAAGTCACGACTTCAAGTAACCACAAGCTTCCAGCTGTTTCAACTCAATATGAACTTCACTGAATCGTCTAAAGCGTTTATCTTACTTCTGTTTAGGTTATTTCTGCAGCCAAAGAAGATTCAGTCAGGAGGAAGCAAAGACACTAAATTATATTTGTCAAGATTTTCTTCAGGTTAAAGACACTGAGGTGTTTTTTCATGAACTAGAATGGATTAAGTGGATTTTCATTTGAGTGTTCAGTGTTTTTATTGATCTTTCCCTGATGAGTTTGGTCGTTCTGCCTCAGGACTAAAGCTGAGACCCTCTTCTGATTCAGTGTCTGTTACCACCTGCTTAGATGAGCTCAGGTTTAAATCCCCTACAGACATGAATCCAGTCTGAATGGAGCTTTAGACTGAAAAAAGCTAAAGAGCTTAAAGTTCTCTAGTTTCAGGTTCTCAAATGTGAATGTTTGCTGGTTTTCTGTGTCTTCGATAGTCTAGTGAATATCTTTGTGTTTCGAACAAAACAAGCAATTTATAGATCAAATGCCGATATTCAAGTTTTGGTAAGAAGTCACATGTCCTCCAACATAAGAAGATACCATTCCGCCCTGGATGAGTACTCAGTGAAGGCGTCCTTATCAGCTGAGCTTGACATGACTTCACTTTTTAAAATAATTTGTTTCAGAAAAGTATTTCATATATAAATCAAGTTTACTGTCATTAGCTTCCCTGAAGAGATGAAGCTGGACTGGACTCCTGAAACTTCTTCCACACGCTGAAGCTGTGAATCAATTAAACTCCGAAGACTTCCCTCAGTTCTGAAGAAAACAATAGTGTGGTGACGTGATGAAGTTGGTAAATCATGAATTGTTTTGGGGTTTAAGGACCTCGTCGAGCCTGGAGGTGACGACAGTTGAGTCTTGCAGTAGTTTTGTTTTCGAAGTCTGAGTTTCTTTCAGTAGGTCCTGAGTTTGAAGACCTTGCTGAGCCTGGAGGTGGCGCTGGAGTACACGAGGAAGGAGCCTTCATCGGTGCTGAAGTATTCCCAGTCTCTGCAGCCGAACGTTGGCAGACTGTGGACCGGAACAAAGCCCTCATAACCCTGCCACCTGAAAACACAAAACATACAGAGATGATAAGCTACAAATAAACAGAAACTAACAGACTCCATTACACACCAACAGACACCAACAGAATCCAACAGAAACCAACAAACACCGACAAACACCAACAGACACCAATAAACACCGACAAACACCGACAAACACC